CACACACACACACACACACACACTCATTCTCACACACACACACTCACTCTCTCTTTGTGTGTTCAGACTGTTACGCTGCACTCCTATTTGTCATTGTCAGGTTTAGACTGATCTTTGCCACACTCTCACACACACACAGTGCTGTAGAGATTGCGCGCGTGTGTGTGTGTTTAGCTCTTGTAATGAGACCAATTTATCATGTGTAAGAGTCGCCCACATCTTCACTGCAGTTTGCCCCAATCACAGAGAGATGGAGGATAGTGTACAGTGAGATGTATTGCGCTCACCGCAGCTCTGTGTGTGTGTGTGTGTGTGTGTGTGTGTGTGTGTGTGTAGGTGATCTCTCAGTTGAGGATTCTGAGCAGGTCTGTAGCAGCTGGCTCCAAATTTGACAGAGAGATCTGGTCTAATGCACTCTCACCTGTGCTCAACCTGTGGAAACGTCTCAACCAGGTAACGCATCGGCATTTTAGTGTCATAATATAATTATTACAGTTTTATATATATTTTTATATATAGTACAAAATTTTTATATTTCATATATTTTTATATATACAGTATATATATTTATATATACTTGTCTTTTGTCCAATAATCCATGTAAAATGTTTTAATGTTTTTGTGCACCATATGCAGCCGTATTTTTGTTTTTTTAATAATAAAAATTCATAGTTATTCATAATTTATTTTCCTTCTATTTTTGCAGTGTTGTTATTGTTAAATTAAAACTGTTAAAAATGATTTCAGTAATTTAAATAAATAAAAAATAAAATTTAAAAATGTAATTGCACATACTGGTCAAAAATGTATAGCCTAAATGCACTGTAAGTCGCTTTGGATAAAAGTGTCTGCTAAATGCATAAATTAAATTAAATTAAATTAAATTAGAAATGTTGCCTTGCTAACTAACTGGAATAAATAGGTTCACATTGAAGTAGGGCTGGACAATATTCAATATCAATATGTATCGCAAAAACATTTTGTTCAATAACGGTGATATGATTTTTAAACACGTTTCCGATATTTCCATATGAATTACCAGTGTTTCCCATACATTTATTTATTTGTGGCGTTTCAAAATCAAAACGCGGCTGTTTTATATGATTGTATCTCTGAAGGGAAAGGACTGTCTTCAGAAAAGTTTCGATGGCATTTTCATTGTATCTGATAAAGAAGTGTTCATGAGCCGAGCTGATTTGATTACAGCCGTTACTGGAGAAACCGCTAGTTCCACCGCTCTCACAGCGCCTCCTGCTGGCAGACAATCAGTTTGCATTTTCAATAAGCCAACATGTTTTTGTTGTTGCTCTTTTTTTTTTCTTTTCTTTCCCGGCAGCAACTCAGAGCACTTTTCATACTCTTTATACTGGCTGAAGCACATTTGTTTCAATCTATAAGAATAGTCGGCCTACACTACCAGTCAAAAGTTTTTGAACAGTAAGATTTTTATTCATTTATTTTTTTTATTATTATTATTTTTTTAAGAATTTTCTTCTGCTCACCAAGCCTGCATTTATTTGATCCAAAGTACAACAAAACAGTAAAATTTTGAAATATTTTTTACTATTTAAAATAACTGATTTCTCTTTGAATACAGAATAAATGTAATTTATTTCTGTGATGCGCAGCTGTATTTTCAGCATCATTACTCCAGTCTTCAGTGTCACATGATCTTCAGAAATCAGTATAATATGCTGATTTGCTGATATTTAAAACAGTTGAGTAAATTTTTTTTTCAGGATTCTTTGATGAATAGAAATCTGAAATAAAAAGCTTTTGTAACATTATACACTATACCATTCAAAAGCTTTGGAGTCAGTATGATTTCTTTTTTTGGAAAGAAATGATAGAAATTTATACTTTTATTCAGCAAGGATGCTTTAAATTGATCAAAAGTGATGATAAAGACATTTATAATGTTACTAAAGATTTCTATTTCAGATAAATGCTGTTCTTCTGAACTTTCTATTCATCAAAGAAACCTGAAAAAATTCTACTCAGCTGTTTTCAGCATAATAATAATAAATGTTTTTTGAGCAGCAAATTAGAATATTAGAATTTTCTCTAAAATATTATATGGTTTTATATGAGGTGTCATAGACTTGGCAAATTCATTTTTCATAAGTTTGTATGCACAGACATCTGTTATGGGCGTTCTTCGCAGTTTTTACGAGGCTTTTTTAAATAGTGTTCATATCGACATCGGAATTATATCGTATCGACTGAAATTAAGAAATATATTGCGATATAAATTTTGGCCATATCGTCCAGCCCTACACTGAAGTACTAAAATTACTAAAACTAAAATAAAAATAAAAAATATATTAAAGCAAAATAGAAATATAAAAAACTAATAACAATGACAAAAGCACATAAAATTACTAAAAAAATAAATAAAAGTGACAGAATCTAAAAATAACTCATTAAAAATATGAATAAATACTATAATAGTGTATAAAAGGGCTGTTTTTTGCTACTGTACCTGTACTGAAAGATGTCAGTGTAAAAGCCTCTTCGCATTGCATTACAGCACTTTTCTGTGAGTTTTCTGTCAGTTCAGTCTTGTTTTTAACCGCTCATCCTTCAATAACAGCCTATCGTGACAGATTCATAAAACAAGCAGAGCTGAAATGTGACACTCAAATGTTGTAGCATCCTGTGAACTCGTAAACACAATTTTATCTCCGGGCAGAAAGATACAAACCTGTGTAGTTTCAATTCTCCTGGAAATTGAAAAAACAAAAAAACGTTTCTTTTGTCAATTTGATATGCAACAGTCAGTTTCCACCAGCTGTTTCGTGTGCAATATGCATTAAACAGTCCGTAGGCGTGTCCTTTATACTAAGTCTAGATTTTGATTGGTTATTGATTCCTGCCGCTCTCTGATTGGCTCTTGCCTCTTTTTCAGGGTTCCTCATTGATCCATCAGAAGGTGGCTCCGCCCAGCGAGGGCGTCGGCTCTCCCATTCTCTCATTCGTCCAGCTGGAGCAGTTTAATGCGGTGCGATTGGTCCACAGCATTCACCAATCGCTGGCCTCGCTCAGTAAGGTCATCAGAGGCACATCCCTCCTGACCGCTGACGTACACAAACTGGCCACTGCACTCCTGAACCAAGAGGTGAGAGTGAACGCCGGCACCTGCTTGATTAATGAAGCAATACAGTATGATATGCTGGGCTAAATTACACCATATATTTGCTGAATGAAATCCTTGTGTCTTACTAATTTGGTGATGCTGATTCCAAAAATAGTGTCAGTTTTGTTCAAGCATGTCACATTTTCTCACAAAATATGATGCATTTAGTAGCATTTTTATAATATATATATATATTAGTAATTTTGTTGTTTGTTCTTGTCTTTTTTTTTGTTTATTTGTTTTTTATTAATTTTATTTCAGTTTCAGACTATTTTTATTTTAGTCAATTTTTATGTTTTATTTTAATTAACGCAGATGTTATTTTTATATTTTTGGTTTTCATTTTAGTTAACGATAACAACGCTGGATCATGACATCTTGTGGGAAAATACACACATATGAAACAGCATTTTATTGTATTAAAGGGAAAAAAAAATGTTGCAAAATTAGTGAGAAAAATTTTTAAATTAAAATAAAATATAAAGTATAAAAATGTTTTAAGTAATTATGTTGTGTTTTTATTATTTTGTATTACTTTTTTCCCCTGGTTTCTTTTTACTTTCTATTAATTTTATTTAATTTTTAGTAATTTTGAGTAAATAAAAAAATGTGCACTGCTTATTGATAAGTGCGTTAAAGCTGATATATATATATATATAATTTTTTTTAATATTTATTCTTATTTTGTGGGGGAAAAAACTCTGATGGAAAGTTTTATTGACATTTTTAACATTTTTATCATAAAATTATGCAATATTAGGCCTTTTTTGCAAATCAGCAGATAATTGTTTTCAGGATGCAGGCGATGTAATCAGAGCTGACTTTCTCTGTCTCTCTCAGTGTCCGTTGAGTTGGCAGAATAAATGGGAAGGCCCTGAAGACCCGATGCAGTATTTGCGAGCCGTCGTGTCCCGAGCGCTCGCGATTCAGGTAAACAAACTCCTGTTGTTGATCCTGAGGTCGTGGAATGTGTTTGACCTCCTCCAGGTGTTCTCCAGTTTGTTTAGCCATGTCTATGGGAGCGTTATGATCCTAGAATGCAGGAATGCCACGAAAGAGCCGTGTTTGTTCAGGATGCACCTGGCTTTATAAATGGCTCGCATATTTTCCTGCTGTAATAGGGCCACGCAGAGCGATCATCTGACCTAATGAGTCTCTGGAGACGTTTACCCGCACCGCCACAGGTCTCCCGTCAGGCTCAACAGCTGCCAGCAGACGCCGCTGCATGTGTCGAGGCATCTCTAGTTGTTTTCCGAGCGTAAAGCCATCGGAATGTAGGCCGCAGTGACTCATCTGATCATATGAGGGTTTTTCTGTGCTTTTATGCGCTTTACTCTCTTTTGTGCTTTGGCTTTGGATAAAAGCACTTTCTGAATAGCAGCCCTGCCATAAATTCCAGCTCTGTGAAGCTCATGACGTACCGTTTCTGATAACACGGGGTCTCAGCACTCCGATGCCCATATTCCACAATGCAGTTTGGTGATTGAACAACTTTTCTGTGAAGCATTCATGTTGCCATACAAAAATGGACAATTGTAGGTTATTGACTTTATTGTATTGTTACTGCAATAAAGCCACGTTAACTGGGTATTACTGTTGTCAAATAAATAAATATATGTCATATGTGTATAATATATACATATACATATATAATATATATAATTATATATTACGTATTATGTATCATATTATAGACTATCATTCTCTTGAAGGTGAAACTGTAAAATAGATAGAAAAAAGTTTTGCGTTTATCAAATAAATGTAGTGTTTTTGGGCATGACAAATTATATAAACATTAAATATATATTTATTGTGATTTTATATTTAATGTACATATAATTTGTCATGTCCAAATCCACTACCTTTTTTATATTTAATTATGTATATATATTCATTCAACATTTTATGTTTTTTCATATGTGTTTTTTATATATTTATTCACTAGGAAAATCACTTAAAATCAACAAAGTTAGTGCTTTAGATAGAAAGAAAGAAAGATAGATAGACAGACAGACACACACACACAGATAGATAGACACACACACACACAGATAGAAAGATAGATAGACAGAAAGATAGATAGACAGACACACACTCACACACACACACAGATAGATAGAAAGATAGATAGACAGACACACACACACACACACACACACACACACAGATAGATAGACACACACACACACACAGATAGATAGATAGACACACACACACAGATAGAAAGATAGACAGACAGACATACACACACAGATAGAAAGATAAATAGACACACACACACACACACACACACAGATAGAAAGATAGATAGACAGACACACACACAGATAGATAGAAAGATAGATAGACAGACACACACACACACACACAGATAGATAGAAAGATAGATAGACAGACAGACACACACACACACACACACACACAGATAGATAGATAGATAGATAGATAGATAGACCTTGAGTGCAGGAAGGAGGAGGAGCTACGTGGCGTGAATATTAAAGTCGTCAGACAGGGACTCATGAATAATACATGAGCGCACCAGCATCACCTGAGGGAGAGTTCATTACACACAACACACAAACAGCAGCGTGTGTATTATCATGTACATTAATCACATGACTGACATCATGTAATATGTGATGGTGTGTGTATGTGTGATTATGAGCATCTGCTTGTTTAGACGTTAGTGCTCCTGAAACTTCAGCCTACTGTAAACACTAAAGCAGTAAATGTTAGCAGGTGTGTTTTGTGTTTGTCATCTGCTGACGTGTGTATAGAGAACTGTGGGAGCGTGACTTTCAGAGAGACAATCTTTCTATGCACATGAGAGTCTCAAAAACATGTCTGGGTAACATTTATTGCATTCTGATGTGGGGCTGAAAAAAGAAAATATATTTCGCACCAAAAATTGAAGCCTGCAGCAGAACGGTTAAGATTTGTGTTTGTTGCATTTTGACAATATTTTCATTTCACATTTTCACATCAGAATTCTCATTAATATTTTTTTATTGCTGAAATAATAATAATGTTGTTTTTATTATTATTATTACTGTTATTACTGCTACTACATAGCAGCAGTAATATTAAAATATGATTTTGTATTTTTATAAATTTAAAACAATAACAATAATCAGTTTTTATTACAATTATTATTATTATTAGAGGTCAACTGATAGTGGACTTTACCGATACCGATGGCTAGGTTAAACCGCACTGGCCGATAACTTATTAATCAACCGATAGTTTTTAAAATGAATACTGTATGGAAAAAATAATATTGTAATTTTATACATTTAAAACAATAACAGTCTGATTTGATTGTTGTTTTTATACCATAACAACAATAATTACATTTCTAAATCATTTAAAATGATAATAAATACAATTATTAGTGTTATATATTATTAATAGTAGAAGTAGTATTTAAATAAAAATATATACATCATGATTGAATTTGTAGCCATTTCTTTTCATTTCCTTTAATATTTTTATTACTGTGTTTTACTATAATATAGTAGAAAGTTAACTTTATTACATCAATTATGAATTTGTGTGAATATGTGAATGAGAATTTTTTTTAATTTTTTTTAAACTACTAAAACTCTTGGTAAAAAATAATAGGCTGCATATTCTTTATGCAGCATATATATCTAGTTCCTTTAGATTGTGTGGTGAAATGTGAGCTGGACATGTTTTCATGAGGTTCAGTCACAGGCCGAGTCTGAGACGAGAGCCACAGTGTGTGTGTGTGTGTGTGTGTGTGTGTGTGAGCTGG